TGGAATTCCTCCACAGCAACAGGGAATGAGACCTCCTATGCCTCCTCATGGTAATCACACTTTTTCCTAATACATTTGAGTTCACTGAAAGCTTTTTAAATCTAGAAGCAGCAGTTAATTTGAAATGGATGGGTTTTTACAGAAATATAACTAATGTTTAACTTTGTCTCTAACCTTTTGAATCCACTAAAATAGCTTTATTTTAAAATAACATTTTTAAAAAAGAAAACTAGTAGATACTTTTACTTTCATCTTAAAATGTTTTATTCATAGGTCAGTATGGTGCTCATCACCAAGGCATGCCAGGATACCTTCCTGGAGGGATGCCTCCATATGGTCAGGGACCTCCAATGGTGCCCCCTTATCAAGGTGGACCTCCTCGACCTCCAATGGGAATGAGACCTCCTGTAATGTCGCAAGGTGGCCGCTACTGATGCTACTACACACAGTCTAATAGGTTTGGAGATTAAACCTTTTCTCATCTTGTGCTGTTAATATAGCCAAGCTTCCGTCAGTTAAGGCTTCATTGTGACTTTTAAAAAAAAATATCTTCCCACATGCAAGGAACTATTGGACATTCTTATTTTACATGGGAAAAATTTATTTGGAATAATAAAACAGGAACTTTTCCTGATGTTGCAATTTATACTGTATGGCTTCTTTTTCATGTTTCATCTAGGTTTTTAGAAGTGAAGTATAGTAAATATGGTTCGTTAAATTGTGAAGGCGCTGGAATTACATGAACATACCATCTTAAAGGCAAGTTCTGTAACATTATGTTGCTATTTGTAAAGTGATGCCTTCACAGCACTTCAGGTGCTGTTGGACTTCACGTCCCCAACTTAGCTTGGTGAGGGCTGTAACTATTCCCAACTACCTGTACATTTAAAAGTCTGAACATGTAACAATATTTAATGTATTTAGCGTTCCTCCTGTTGCAGGGTTTAAGTAAACTGACCCAATAAGGTCGTGTGACTTTTCTGTACTGTTATAAACTTCATTGTAATAAAACAAGACAAAAATTTATATGCCTTTTTATTCATGACCAGCTGTGGACAACTGCCTGCAAGGTTTGTACAGATGCATGCCACAGTAGTTATTGGTGTAATAAACGCATATTTACTGCTGCTCTTTTGATATACTCTAATTCTTGTTTGAACTTTGTCACTTAGCTGCATGTTGTAGTCTCCTAAGCAAGTAGACATAGACCTGTACACTTATTAACTAACTTTTAAAAAAATTATTAATAGGAATGAAGTTACAGGGTACATCTCATCTATCGTTTATAATTTGTTTAAAATGGTACAGGTTTCTTTAATAGGCCTTTCTTCTTGTCCACAATAAATCTTAGATGACATTGGCACTTTCACATGTTAGCAAGATGTAATTGTGACCCCTGGCTGATGTAAATCCTAGTGCCAGATGCATCCTGTTAGTTCTTTCTTCAGATAACTTTCTTGGATGTGTGACTGCATCAATGCATGAACCTCAGGAGCCATTCAGGAGAAAACTTCTAGAAGCTTAGGTGCATGACACACAGTGAGTGATTTTATTGCTACTGTATTGAAAGTGACCTGCAAAAAGGAAAAATAGGCCTTTGGCCCATGTTTTGCCTCTCTGATGTGCAAAGAATGGGATTTTGTTTTCTGCTTTTACCATAAATATAAGGAATTACAAATCTGATTGTCTCTGGGTGGTGGTGGTTGTTGGACACAAGATGACTTGTGGATTGAAAGTTTTCTCAGCCCATTAAGTGCCTGGGTGTTGAACTTTTGAGACTCTTCTCCCAAGTGTCTTAATTACTTAGTTAACAAATCAGAATTTTGAATCTGAATTTGTCTCTTACCTTCTTACTCAGATTAATTTCCTTGATACGAAGTATATCTTACTTCTTTAGTTGACTAGTCTTCCAGTGTTGAGCTAAATTTCTAATGGAAAAATACAAACATGGGGAGAACACTTTTTGTGATAGGGGGGCTTCCAGGTCTTTTAAACATCAAGAAGCAGAAAATGGCAAATGTTGCTTTCCTTTGCAGATCGACTTTTAAATACAAGTTCCAGCCATAAGTTGTATCTTATCTGTGCCACTTGTGTTGTGGTGATGATACTCTTTTCCCTTGTTTTTCCATCGCATAGGCTGGCAGCCTTTACCCTAGTTTGGTCATCAGTGTAGTAGGTTTTCCTGTTTTTTTTCTAACACTAAGCATTGTGACTTACTCTTATTTTTGGAAGAGAGTTCTTTGGTTTTTTACAGCTATGGTTTGTACCAGGAACTTCACATTGCTTTTCTTTCGTGCCCCATCTTTTCAGTCTGCAAATTTTAAAATTAAAGATATCCAGAACATTGTGCTGTCTTCCAGTAGAGTATGTGGCCCCATGGAACTCATTATATAGTGTCTCAGGTTCTTTGGCATCTTAATTTCTAGTTATATGGCCTTGGTTTAACAACTTAGAAATTTATCTGGCAAATCTCCAGAAACTTGTATTAATCTTAAGCAAGATCCATAGTTCTCCAGATGTCATAAAGAAGCATTTTTCTCGGCACTAGACGCCGTTTACCTGCTGGCCATCTGTCAGCTAACATGTAGAATAAATAAGCAGACTCATTCAGTAATTTGCTTGGAAATGCATTATGAACTGGCCTTGAGTTTTCAGTTATCTTTTTTTCTCTCCCTCCCATTTCTCTACAATCATAATTTAATATGTCCATTGTTGTATTCCAGATGGAAGCTGGTTGTCTTCTGTATTCCTTTCTTCTAATGCCAAGGATCATTCAAAAAAACCCAAACATTAAAGCTATCCTAACACGTTTGACTTTTTTTTTATACCTCACCTAAAAACATTCATGTCAATAGGTTGATATTTGTATTGAGCCTGTAAAAACTGTGGAACTTCCAGCTTTTTCTCAAGCTCTTATGATGCTCTAAGGATATCTCTCCTCCTTCCCCCTGCTGTAGTTCTGTAATCCATTTTTGAAAAAACTTTTATTTTCTGCTCTACACCATTCCACCCCCCCTTTTCAAGGACGAGTAGTCAAAAAAAAAAAACCAAAACCCAAGAACCTTAATGCATGCATTGCTCACTTGATCTGCTCTACTAATTGTCGTTATTTGTCCTTTAGTCCAAAATAGTTCCCATTTCTTAAATAGTTATTGTTTGGCTGGTTAGGTGATAGCATCGTTTTATAGCTCACAAATATTATTTTGGCTACTTAGAGGTTGGAAACATTTAGATCTCTTTATTTTGTTCCTAACAGGACCTGAATGGATGAAATCTCTTACAAATATACTTGGCAAAGTTTAGTTATCTGCTCTTGGTATTTCTCAGGTAGACACTCCCTGTTTTGTTTCCTCTACTCGGAGACCTGTAATGCAGCTACCTTGAGTTGCTGTCACTTCTTTTTCAGTGGGAATGTTCTTACAGAATTTGCTGTCTCTTACTGGCCTCCCGTTTCATTTATGTCTAGAGTGTCAGACTTGCAGTAGAGTTTCCTGAGGAGACAAGCTGCTTTCAGATAAAGTAATTTTTATATGGATTAACCATTTAAATCCCCTCCCCTAAGATTAGCATGCCATATCTCATAGTGAAATGAGAATTTATGATTAAATAAGATTGGTTGACTGACTTGCAAATTACATAACCAAATGTTGGTGTAGGCACTAAAAACATCTTAGTGAATAATTTTTAGGCAAATGTTTAGAAACAGATGAGGAAAGTCAATGCTTGTGCAAAAGATTAAGCATTTTTCGTTAGAAGATCTAAATCATTTTTAAAATAGCCTCATGGTACTCCTGTGAGGTAGACATATTCTAACCATTTTAGAGACAGAAAATAAGTGATTTGCCCAAGATCATTCAGCAAATCATTGAAAGAGCCAAAATTATAAACCAGGAGTCTTGATATCATCTCTTTCTTGAGTTGTTAAACCACCCTTCAGCACAGAGGTTACTTTTTAAATTAGATTTTACAAAGGTAACTAATTTCTGTGGTCTCTAATCTGTGAGTGAACTAACTCTTTCCTTTGGTGAATGATTAGTAAGACTTTCCTGATGACTAGCTTTTACTCTTTTTGCAAATCATTGCTCCTCTATTTCAGATCATAGATTCAAGATACTGGTAATAAGTTTGAGGATGGGATGCATATCTGATAATTAAAATGAATAATTAACCCTTGCTCTGTGCATGCACAGGAGGACACAAGCTTCTAGAAAGTATTCAACTGCTTCTGTGGTTTGCATGGTGCATGCACTCATTTCGAGTGTATGGAGCTGCAGAGCAAATTACCTGTGTAGTGCACTCAAGTCAATGGTAATTAATTTTTTCTGTGAACTAATGGATAAAGTACAGCATATAATCTGAAATTATTTTGCAGAAACCAAAGAATTCTGAACACAAGACGAAAAGAAAAAAAGAAAGATTTGTTTAGTTTACACAGTGAGAAGGGCAATATAATGACTTCTGATGACAGAAGTTGAAACTGTAACAAACTAGCCTGTCAGCTGGTGTTGCAATTTCTAAAACTATTTTAAATTTTTTTTGTCTGGTACTAAATATCTTAATAATTGTACTGGTCTAGCTACTACAGAAGACATTAAGGTGAGGGTAAACTTTTCAGTGGCTGATGGGATTTTCACCTAACATTACTTTTTGTGAACTAGTACAATAAATGCCATCAGTTATGGGAAAAATACCCATAGACAACAGAGTTGTGTTCCAGTCATCAAGCTACAAATGAAGTAATCTAAAGTCAGAACTTCGTACAACTCAAAAATAGTCAGAAAGTATAAAAGGTTTAGTTTGGAATTAACAAACAAATGCTAAGGCAGTAACTTCTTTTGTTTGCTTGATCACTGGAATTTTGTTAATTTTGAATGCATGTCTTTCACTTAATTGGGTTATGTTTTTCTAAAATTTAAATTTTTCTTCTTCCTATAGCCCTGCCATAGGACAGGCTGAGGCAGAGTCTCAGTGTTGCCCTGTTCAGTCTGAGGCAAGTGGGATTTATTTTATTCATTCTGGGGGCTTTCACAGCTTTATGGCTGTTGGATATCTATGTCCCCAAACTTGCAGCAAGTTTGGTGAAGGCCCCTAAATTTAATTTAATTTAGGATTTTTATAATCTTTTGGTAGATGGGCTCTATATTAATATTCATACTTATTGGCTGTGGTGTTTTTGAAGAGGTTGGGGGGAAGGGATATTTAAGATCGATGTGGATGCAACTTTTTTCCCTTTATCCTTCAGCCATTTCCCTTTTTTCCAAATTCCATGCACTATTTTTTTGACAGTAATATTTAATAATGGAACTACATGTAGCTTATATGAACACATCTGTTGGGTGATGCTGTTGCCTTTTCTGGGGAAATGTATTGAATGCTACTTACTTGAAATCCAGAAATTTTATTATAACACTTTAAATCCGTTTAGTTATTAGGCCTACAGTATTAATTATAAGAATATTAGTCAGAGCTGGAGGCATAAAATTAGCTGTATTTATAGAACCCTGAATAATAATTTTCCATAAAAGGAAGGATATAGTGATATACTTAATATTTTTGTTTTCACATGTTATACCATGAAAGTTACACCAGAAGAGTAAATATTAATGTAGAGCCCTGCAAAGAAGAAATACAGATTTGAGTTGGTAAATAGAAAAAAGGAATGAGAAATTGAAGTTGTAGATTTTGCAAAAATGTCAGTTTGAAAGATTTCCTTTTCATCAGCCTCTTTTTTAAAAAGGCATAATATTGTAAAGTTTGGTGTATTGCACCATGTATTCTAAAATCATGGCATTCATTGCGAATTTTGAGGGATTTTTCAATGTAACTTAACATGTTTAATAACTACCGTTACCATATCAACAGTATTGAAGATAAAACTGTACTCTTATTTAGAAAATGAGAACTTTACTATCCTTAAATAATTTTAAATTACTGTTTGAGCGGACTGCCCTTTTGCCTTTTTCTTGCGAAAGCATTTGATACCTAGACAATTTCAGCCTGAGAATAGGTTTTGTTCCTGTGTAATCTGACTGCCTCTTGGCAGCATTTGACTCTTACAATTTCCAAATTAAAAAAATTAATGTTTGCTAGGTTATTTGAAATTGCTGCAGCAGATGAGTTTTTAAAGACAGTTTTTGATGCACCATAGAAACCGTTCAATTTCTTTAACGTTTCCTTAAGTAATGGTTAACTTGTATGGCTTTCACAAGTCTGGTTGTGGCTCACATTGTCTTTAATACAATTGACTGTCACCTACAAGAGTGGAACGTGTTCCTTCTGCCCTGTTGCTTTCCCCCTTTGGAACTCCTGCCCAACTTCCCCACACTCACATTCTGAACCCCTTCTGGGTTTCTGATCCTTCCTGGTGAGCTCCAGAAACTAGTTCTAATCCTCACTAATGCCCAAATTTGTGAGACCTACGCACTGAATGTTAACTGTATTCAAGTAATTGTTGAGCAATTTGTGTTATATTCCTTATTCTGTCAGTTTGATGTTACCATTTATAACACTACAAGACAATACTACAGTAACTAGCATTTTTATACTAAATTTATTCAAGTTTTAAGAGCACTGTCACTGTCTTGTCTCCTTATTTGCATAAACTGGTCACAGGCAAGAGTTTTCTTGCAGAAGAGAATTGAATAAGTAGTGTGTTGTATGTGTTGCTACAGGTATCTGAATCATTCTGTTAAGACTCAATTAATGAAAAGAGCCAGAGATATTTAGTGTTTAATATTCATTATTGATTCAGTCTGCCTTATATCACCATTTAATAGACTGACACTAAATAGTTTCCATCCAAATATTTGCATTTGGTTTGGTAAGTCTTCAGGTGTATTTTGTAGTAGAAATGTTCAAATGTAGATTAATGTATACCCTCCCCCTTGTCCATAGTGTACATTTGTACAAAGATGAGTATCCTTCTTTGATCCACACTTGGGTTATATCCAATAAACATATATTCCTTGTGGCAGTTAAATGTTCAGTGTCATACTCAAACCATCAATTTGTTTTCACCTTTGCATTGTTTGAAGATACTAGTTTAAGATGGTCATGAGAAATCACTTACTTGCACTTCCTATTTCTGTTGTGCTAATGCTCTTAATATAATTTAAATGTTTCTTCACCATGCCAAAAAAACCTGATGATTCTCTTGTATCTATCTTGTGAAATGAGACTAAGTACTGTAGTTCGTTCCTCCCCTATCACTGTAGGGATATTTTCTTTTCTGCACTAGTTATTCTCATGTAAATTTGAGAACATACTTCTTGGAATCCTAGTAGAAACTTTCATCTGGAGGAAGACTAATCGCTTTGCTATCTACTTCCGAAAGATGTACTCAGTGGCACTCCAGAATAATTCTGTAGGATGTTGTGTGTATTTGAGCTTCCTTTGCTATAATTTTCAATTCAATGCATTTCAAGTGGTATCGGAAATCTCAAGTTGGTCTTCAGACACAAGCTTCGCTTCTCCCTTTCTCCCTGTTCCTGCCTCCCTCTAAGGGAGTTTTATGATTTTCAAAAGTTTCTCGTTTTGAGATTTCAGTAAAAATTTGAAGTTCATAGGTCTCAGTGACTTCAGCAGGCATGCCAATATTATCTTAATTCAGTGCCACAGTTGATGTCCATGTATTAATTTGAAAGCAACAAGAGAGCAGTTTGCATTTGTTTTAAATATTCAGTGGTGATATGTGACCTATAAAAGGTAGAGAGGCTTTGCTTTCTTTCTAACCACCCATAATGGCACACTGCTTTACATTATTTAATTTAATAGTTTTTCCTCAGCTCCTAGATCAACTGACCAATCTTAAGTGTTTCAAAAAGATCTCTGAACACAAATCTAGTTCTGAAGAAAAAAATCTTGCTCCTAGTGTGAAGCTTGTCTGACACCCTTGAGTGTGGATCTAAGGAGGATATTGCCAGGAAAAACTTAAATTGTAAACAAGAAATTCCCTAATTCAAAGTAGTGTGAACTTACTGATACCCTGTGTGTCACAAAGTTGCTCCATTTCTGGCTTCCGTGTCTTTTCCCAAAGGCTCTTAAGAATCACTTTAAAATATTACTCTTATTTTCCTACATTCTAATGGAAGCATTAGGTATTATTCCATTTAAAGCTACAAGGACCTATATTTCATGGACAAGAAATGCTATAATGTTAAACTGCTAAATCAGGTGAACTTGCGCATATCTCTCGTTACATGCAAGGTAAATAATAGGAGTGGCAAAGTACATGCCATGCGTTAAGTTCTTGGATGCTTTAGAATGCTGTGATGTTTGCCTTATACAGAACACTTTGTATATTAGTATTAAATGCTGTCCCTTAAGTGCTGTGGAAAATACTTAATTCCAGTGTGCCTATTTTCAAAATGATTTCACTAAAGCAGGGTTTCTCAAACTCCATTGCATCATGACTGCCTTCTGACAACAAATTACTACATGACCCCAGGCAGGGGGACCGAAGCCTGAGCCAAAACCAAAGTTTGACCCCTGCTGTCCGGGGATGGGGCAGGCCGAGGAGGAGGCAAAGCCGAAGCTTGAGGGCTTCAGCCCTGGGTGGTGGGGCTCTGACTTCGGCTTCAGCCCTGGACCCCAGCAAGTCTAATGCCAGCTCTGGCGACCCCATAAAAACGGGGTCGTGACCCACTTTGAGGTCCCAACCCACAGTTTGAGAACCACTGCATTAAAGTAACTAGGATTTTCTATAGTCCAGTGATTCTCAACCTATTTACCATTGTGGGCTGCATCCAGTACTACCAGTATGGCCCTGAGGATATCACATGGGCTGCAGCTCTGTGCTGATTGGGCCACAGGTTAAGAACCATTGCGATAGCCAATCTGGAGAAAAGCAGTTAGTGGGTTTAGTGGCCTCTTTCTGCCACAAATGTAGTGGTGGTCCATTTTTGTGTTTGCCATAAAAACTTGTCCAGATATTAGTTCAGGAGTGAGGATAGTTGCTTTGGAAATAGACCTTGTTGAGTTTTTGTGTTTGTGCAAAACACATTTAATCATCTGACTGTTGTGATTCAGTAAAAATACATTGCTCAGATGGCAGCTCTCTGCAGATCTCTACCCCATCAGAATAGGAAGTAGATAAGAATAATCACAGCTAGAATGAATACTGGTATCATGTTTCTGCTAGTGTATCTGCAGTTTAACTGCAACATCATTGCTGGCCAAGTGACCTACGTATACTGAGGACCTCTATGCAAGAGAGCCAGACTTTTAATCCACAATTTCTTGATCCGTTGGCTAACACAGACTTGAAATACAACAGACTCCTCAGGGTGGTTACAATTTGTGCGCCTCACTTCTCAACCCAACTTTTTTCTCAAGAGACGTGGAAGGATCCACAGTCAGGAGTCCTGACCAGTCCTTGATTGGCCAGATGGTCCCCACGTAAAGCCTGAGAGTAAAGGAGGAAAAGGTGAACTACCAGTTGGATTTCCACTACAACATCCACATTTCATTCAGGTCGTCAGACACAGTGTAGTGTTGTTAAGATCCAGGCTTTTTATTCAGCCTTAATTCAAATTCTGTCTAGTAGGATGGTATATCTTGAATGCTGGGATACTCCACACTTCTCTGCAAGTCTGTGCACCAGTTCTTTTGATTTCTCCAACCATCTATCTCCCTAGCAGAAAACTCTAGTTTTAATAGTACCATTTTTAAATGGTGCTGAACTCATCTTAAAACACTGGTAATGAGCTCATCTCAAGGTTTGTCTTGACTAGGAATTAAAAGGTAAGACCAACAGCTGGTGACAGTGTAGCATTCTCTTGTATAAGTTCATGTTTGATGTAATAGATGATCATTTCAGGCTTCCTAGAATAGCAAGTTAAGAAATCTGATTTTTGAGGCCATGGGATTTTTTCCCTCTCCCCTCCTTTATAGGGTGTGTAGAGAGAAGACACATTGTGGCAGGGAAGTTAATAGGTCAGATGAGGTATGTGTTGCCTCAGGGTTTCCTTTTTGTTTTTGCTATATCAGTATAAATTTTAATCACATTTCAAGAGTAATTCTTTTTAAATTGAATTACACATCTGCTGTTCCTACTAGAACTGTGTTAACTAGTCCCAACTTCAACCTCTTGGTTTTGAATGTGGGAATTTTCATCATACCTAAGAACAGCCCACATATACTCAAAGGAATCCATTTCTCTGTTCCCTGATTTATGAATCACACACCAAGACAAAGTAAAACTGATTTCACAAACAACTTCACCTCTATTGCCTCAGTGAAGCAGGTGAAATTTGAGAAAATAATAAGTGTACCCAATCTATTTTCACTGAGTGCTCTTTAACAGGGTCACTCTTGCAACTACAACTTGTAATCCCTTAACATTCAGGTTTGTCCAAGAGGTATTTATCATATTACACTTGTCTGGTACATGAGTCAGAAAAGTTTGAATCAAATTTAAAGGCAAATTAACCATAATTTTATAGCTGCCTTTAGTCCATTTCTTTTTTTAAAAAGGGACATTGTACCAATTGAGGTTTGAAAAAAAAATTTTAAATGAGAACTAAATTATGGATAAACTCCTTGATTTAATACAACTTGTGTTTTTGTTAACTAGCAGCAGAATTTCAGCATTTGCTACTTACTGGTAGAGAAGAAAAATCCCACAGCACTGCCAGTACAGGTTAGTTTAATCTGTAAGTACCTGATGTTCCTGTTTGAAATACTGTGTTCAAATACCATTTAAATACATGAGGAGAGAGTCTTTTGATCACCTAAATGTAAATACGTCTTTGTTGTGTAGGATATATGTTGCTGTCTTCAGTAGTGAGTAAATTTGTAGAATTTAACAGTTAAAAAAATACAGTGATTCTAACTACACCTAGGGGTACTATACATTTACAAACACCTGATTAACATAAATGGGGATTAAAAGTTTTGATAGTCATTTTGGCAGTATTGAGAAGCTTAATGGACACATGGATGTGGATTCAACGGTCACTTCTTCAGTAATTCACTTACTACCGAGAGAGGTCATTTTACCAGAGTGAATTGGTGATACAGGATTTTGATATTCGCTTATATTGGGGATTGGGTGTTCATGCCCCTAATACTGTAGCAGTAATTTAACCTTGACTTAAATTTTCTGTTTACAGATAATATGTAATATCACCTGACTTAATACCCCCACTCTCATATATTTGCTGTAGTAGGCCCTGTGCATGGGATTAGACTCTGAAATCCATTTTAGCCCCTTTCTACACTTCAAAGAGCTCCTACAAATGTTTTCCTCAGAGACTTTAGTTTACTCCATATTTCTTGCCTTTCCCTCATATTCCTCTTTACTTTCTCCTTCCACCCCTCCAGTATTGCTTAGTGTGCTTTATCAGCTTAAATTTGAAGCAGGTGACTTAATTGTTTGGATGTTTTTTTGGTTGTGCAGTATCCTGAGCGTCTCGAGTATTTTGTATGAAATTAACTTCAGAAGATAAAATTTTGTATGTGTACACAAATATACTGTGACCGTTTTTAGGTGCTCTACAAAAATAAACTCCAAAACTACAGCACATTAAAGATCAAGGAAAGCCAACGGATGGAGGTAGTCAAATAGAAACTGAAACTGTCGTCATCTCAATTTACCTAATTAGAGCAACAATCTGAATAACAATGTGATAAGATGACATATACAGCTCCACCAAGTTGATTTCAGAATTGAACATCTTGCATAGGTTTTAAGAATTCATTCTCAATTGTAATAGCATGTTAATTTTTTATGTTATAGAAGAAAACATGCTGACTGGTTTTAAGAGCTGTGATAACCTTTGTAGTTTTAGCAGGACACATCACCCAGGGACTCTTATTATATGCTCAGGAATTCAGACTAAATGTTCACTTGCCTGCAAGTGGCAGCACACGCACTTCAACTTTCTCACTTGTGATGTGCCTGTTCAGACTTCTCTTTTGGGAACCTGGCGGGTCACTTTTATATTGGCTTTAAAATTAATCTGTTGGCCTATAACTCCTAAACATGACTGGGCGTTATGTGCACGTGTAAAAACTACAGATTCCTTACTTTGAAATCAGTGACTATATGTAGTAAAGTTCACAAATCTTTCCTTTTAATTGATATTTTTTAAATAATTGTGAATCCAGTTGCTGTTTGTGGCACCAAATCTCTCACCTTGTTAATAAGTGGTTCCTTTGGACTGCAATATTCTGTGAGGTCAGCTTACAGGGGTTGCTAAAAAAGAAATTTAACCTTCTACTTCACAGTACCCCCAATTTGGTATTGAACACTCCCCTTTGCCACACCCATCCTCAAGTGCGGGGGTCGGTAATCTGCTGGCAGGCTGCGAGACGTTTTGTTTATGTTGACCATCTGCAGGCAGCTCCCTGGGGCCGCAGTTCCCTGTTCCTGGCCAATGGGAGCTGTGGGAAGGAGCAGGCTGCAGGGATGTGCTGGCCATGGCTTCCCGCAGCTCCCATTGGCTGGGAACGGCGAACCGCAGCCCCAGGGAGCTGCGGGGGGGGGGGGGTGCCTGAGGACTGTCAACGTAAACAAACTGTCTCGCGACCTGCCAGCGGATTACCCTGATGGGCCGCGTGCGAAAGGTTGCCGACCCCTGCTCTAGTGCTTCATATTACCAAAAAGTACAATGCTTCACGATTGCTTTAATATAATGAGCTATGGTGGAAATGCCACCTTTCTGAGATTTTTTTTTTGCCAGTTAAATAGCCCACAGCATAATATGAATATTGTTTCAATAATAAAGAGCTAAGTGCATTTTCCTTTGACACAGCAAATTTGGATTTTTCTGAAAGGATACTGGGAATCTTTAGACCTGTCATTACTACACAAGTGATCTTAAGTTGAGCTTTTGGTCCATTGTCATAGCTGTCCTTTAGCATACAATTGGATCTTTTACTTTACTGTGGCAATTACTTGGAGGCCACACTAAGAGTTTATCTATCTTCTGTGAACCAACAATCATTCAGGTATTGATATTAAAAAGTGTCCCAAATTCATGTTCTTTGAAGAAGTGAAGTGAATGGGACCAAGTTAACTGTTTTTAGAACATTAAAATATGCCCATCAATCTGTGAGCACGTGTACAAAACTTGTAACAGATGGTAAAAGTATTGGTAAGAGGGAGGGGTAAACTGAAAGGTTGGTAAGTATGTGTGTAACTCTGTAAAATGCATGTTGACTGTAGAAATGGTAACTGTCTGCAGTTTAATTTTCATAGCATTCAGTTGACAGAGAAGTGTTGAAGACCATATGGAACCAAGAACAATGAATCAAACTTGCATTCTGTGTGTTCTTATGAGGCTCATATTTCTTCAGGAATGGGAAATTGGATATATATACTTCCATAATATGTATCTATTTAATTCTGACTTTCTCTAATGATTAAACTTAGTAATTTAATAAATGAATTGTTGCCTGTGTATTTTCTCTGAAGGAACAATTTAAAATTCGCAACACATTGTGTTGAAGTGCTTCACAACAATTTTAAGTATAAAAAAGTATGTTTTCAGCCGACTTTCAGCTTAAATAGCATAATGAAATCAGGCAAATGAATAAAGACACAGTTTATCTGCAGAGATATTAGGTGACATATGCTGCAATAACATGCCAAACAATGCGTACTGCTCAGCTGTGTAAAACATTTAAATTGGGTATGTTAATCAAGTATTAGTCTTTGAGGCTACAAACAACCCAAATCAGATTTTTGTGCTCAGCCTTGCTAATTTTTTGGGATGTTTTTTGGTAGCTTTTTAAAAAATTCTGGCTTCTTTTGTTTTCTGTAGGTCTCAGTAATGTAACACTGATAATTAAAATTAATACAAGCTCCCAAAACTGCTTAACTACACGTGTGTTAGTAAGACACAATACTGGAATAAACAGTGCAGCTGTGCTTTTAGATTAAGGCATATTTGACCAAATAAGGACTGGGAAGATCCTTTTAGCGGGAGTGGTATGGGTACTAAATTGGCACAGAATAATTAAACACGAACAACTGATTTGCAGTACCTAAAAGTAAGTCTTTTACATATTTGAAGACTTATCAGGTCCACCCTCAGTAATCTTTTCTCAAAACCAAACACGTCCAGTTTTTTAACCTTTCCTCATAAGTTATGTCTTTTAAACCTTTTATAATTTTTGTTACTGTCCTCTGGACTCTCCAATTAGTCCACATCTTATGTACCAAACCTGGACATAATACTTCAGCAGAGGCCTCACCATTTCCAAGTAGAGCATGACAGTTACATATGACACTTCTGTTATCCAGAAGGACATTTGCCTTTTTTGCTACAGCATCACACTGTTGACTCATTCAGTTTGTGATCCATTGTAACCTCCAGATCCTTTTCTGTAGCACTGCTGTCTAGCCAGTCATTGCCAATTTTGAATTTGTGCACTTCTCTTCCTTAGTACTTTTCACCTGTCTTTATTGGTTTCAGAGCAAATCTTCAATTTATCAAGGTAATTCTGAATTCTAGTCCTGGATTTCAGAGTGCTTGCAACCTCATCCAGCTTGATGTCATCTGCTAATTTTGTAAGCATACTCTCCACTACATCATCCAAGTTGTTAATGAAAACAAAGAATAGTAGTACTGAACCTAAAATGGATCCTACTTGCATAAGAACGGCCATGCTGGGTCAGGCCAAAGGTCCAGCTAGCCCAGTATCCTGTCTTCCGACAGTGGCCAGTACCACTTGATATCTCCTCCCAGTTCTATTGTGAACCATTGATAATTCTTTGAATCTGGTCTTTCAACCAGTTGTACATCTCTTATAGTAATTTAATCTAAACCATATTTCTGTAGTTTCCATATGAGAATGTTGTGGGAAGCAGAAGACTTGCCTGTAGAAGGAAATTAGATTGGTTTAGTGTTACTCGTTCTCGATAAGTGCGTGTTGGCTATTTCCACTTTATCCTTCATGTTTGAACAAATTGATTAATAAGTTGTTCCAGTATCTTTCCGGATATTGATTGCCCTCAGACATTAGTAATGATGTGTCTCAAATTGCTAGGCCATATGGCATCATGTACCTTTGACTCGTGTGCCCATTTTGCATGAAGCAAGGCAGGTGCCTAACTCATTCTTGCTAGAAACAACGTAGGCATCTAAAGTGACTCCTGGAGACAGGTTCCCTGCTGTGAACTGCTAGTACAAATAGGTACCTCCCTGCAGCCCCAGCCTAGGAGCTGAACTTGGAGTGGGGCTTAGCGCACAACCCCTCATCAGCATTACCCAGCTTAGGCAGCTCCCAGTTTAGCATGCTGGCTTTTGTGGATCATGTTCTTAGGTGTCTCTCTCCCCACCCCCATTGTTCAGGGACCCTACGTACCTAACTCAGGCTTTGTAGGTCACCTTTGCACTCCATTGATTTTTCTGGGCACCCAAAGTTAGGCATTGTGACGCTGAGCGGATTTTGAGATATGAGCCTAACTGCTTAGCTTCCAGAAATTCTGCACTAATTCTTACAGTCCAGCTGTCAACTGGCCAGCACAAGGTGATTTCTCCCGTGAAACTGGTTGAATAATCAATTTTTTGCCCTGCCATCCTTAGTTTAAAACAACCTTGCCACATGTAGCTGAGAAGGCTCTGAATGAGCCACATATAAAAGCTTAATTAGTATCCTGGTTCACCCCATTCCTCTTCTGCTGTAAATACTGAAATGTGAGGTTAACCAATATTTTAAGCTTGTATCTTTCCTCTGGTGGGAGCCTCAGCCATCTGTGATTCAGACCTTTTCAAGCTTTTATCAAGTTAATATACAATTACAAAATTCACAACATTTCACAGAGAGTGATGATTCTAAGTCAAGCTTTTAACTCTGAAGTGGACAGTTAAAACAAAAAAAAAGTTTGTGCAGGAATACCATTTGCTGTTCCAATACCATCCATAACTCTGATATCAGATGCATCCAAGAAGGATTGGGGAGTACATATAGGTCAGATCCACACTCATGATTGGTGGTCTCATTGGGAGTGCCAGTTACATATTCTAGAATTGAGATGGATACATCTAGCTTGCAAAGAGTTTATACCACTGATCAAAGATTCTTCCATTCAAATTCTCATGCTCAATCCACAGTGGTCTACTACATAAACAGGGAAGTGCAAGATCAGATCTCCTATGTCAAGAAGCCATAGATCTGTGGGAGTGATATATCAAGAATTGTATCAGTCTTGATGATGGTTTAACAGACTCACTAAGCAAAAAAGTGACTTTATATCACAAATGGGAATTAAAAGATTAATTACTGGACCAAATCTTCCGAAGATGGGTTTTTCCCCAAATAGACCCATTCACTTTTAATCAGAAGAGAAAGCATCTGAAGTTTTGTTCTCGAGCAAGAAAGAGTCCAGGATCCATAGCAGATACTTTCATGATTGCTGGTTATACCATTTGATATGTGCTTACCTTCCTTTTCCTTTAATTCCAAGGCTTATTAAGGAACATATGGCAAGAAAAAGCTCTAGTTATACTTGGATTCTGGGCAGTGAAGGAACTGAGTAGTGGTTGGGGTTGCTGCACTCTCAAAACCCCTGGGAGGGGGAACATGAGCACAACCCCCTACTGGACACTACTAGTGAAAATGTTCCTCGCTACTGTGCTAAGGTGCCCATATACCATGAGTGGGATCCACATGTGTCTACCTCTCAAAGAATCAGTTACTATGAGATAAGTAACCCTTTCTGATTGAAAAAAGCAGAGCAGGTGTGATCAAGTTAGATATTCCAACAGCCTACAGCTTCTCCACTTGGAGTATTATTGGGGAAGAAAATCCAAGCAAGAAAGCTTCTCAATTATCCCTTCTCAATGTTGCCTTGATACTACATATGCTTGATTTTGGAAATCTAATAGCTGTGTATGCAGCAGAAAGAAAAATAACTGGGAAAGATTTCAAATACAACCGTAAAGTCTACTTGAACCCAAGAGAGAGCTCATCACTTTGGAGCATTTTCTGTACAACACTACTTCCTGCAGATTCAGCGTCAATCTTCTTTAAACAAGGTAACAGAGTCTAGCATTATTTATAGTTGATTGTGATGTAGACACATTTAAATCCTGAATTGTTCTAATGAATTCAGGCTTTGTGTTGTCACTCATATGCAACATGGATGTTATATTAAGTTTAAAAAGTCAGCTGATTTTAACAGCCCTCTTTCTAACAATCTCAGTTTTAATTTAAAAGTAACTTTCCTCTTTCCCCAGACTTTGAACAGAGAAGTATGGCTTAATCCTTGTGTATAGGAAAATAGTGGCTGATTATAGTTTCAAATGAACTGCAGAACTAAGTGGTTGCACGTAGAGCCATCAGATGTTGAGTATGTCAGAAAAATTTCCATCTGTTTGCCCTTTTATCTTCTGTCTATGTTGAAGAACTCAATAAACAAGTTGGGATTCATTTAAAAGGTTGTTTAGTCAGACAGTATGCAAATGATATTTTAGTTTCCAGTGAAGTTTAAGTGAGGTAGTTGTTAATACAATAATATTAAAAGAAGCAAAACACAAACTCCAAAAATAACGTATTGTTACTTCATTAGAGTACGCTTTTTTAATACCTCATTAAAAATGAACTGGTGCAGTAAAGATATTTATAATATGATAATATAACATTAGTAAATTATAATAGAAATAAAGTACTAATGTTCAAATAAGACTATGAAATCAGTAAACATACAAGTTATGTCCTAAACCACATAACATGAGGGTGATATATCAGTGAGTGCCCTTTCTACAAAACATAACCTAGCAGTGTGAGAACTGCTCATGTTTAGTGTATTACCTTAGACAAATTTGAAAAATTGTAATGATGCTTAGAGTATTTTTACTTCAAACTATTAATATATTTTAAAAAGAAAGATGCTAAGGTAGATTAGCCACTATTTCACCAATTTTACCTGTTTTTTTTAAAAAAAATTGATTTGCAAAGTACAGCAAATTTTTTTAAACAAATGCTTACTTTTCTTGCCCACCAATTTTCTTGCACCCTTCCCCCCAAAAATGGACAAATGAGTTGATGCACTATTGAATTTGGTTATTCAATATGTGGTACTATACAACAAATGAAGTATGCTAAATAGTTAAGATACATATTTTGTTCATGTGTACAGCTTAAAATTTTACTTTAAAATTATTTTCTTTCCTTCATCTTGGAAAATACTAAAACCAAACTACAGAACACAATTACAAATTATATTCTATTTTATAATTCTTTTAATGCATCCAAGAAGCAAAATTAAATTACCCAATGTAACAACTGTGGAATCCACTGTCTGGATTTTGGAGGAAAGTATAAAACTGACATTAACACCTGCTTAGTCTTGTGGTGCATTTGGCCTCATAGCTCCAAATGATCCTCGGTGGTTTCTCATTCTCTATCTCTTTTGCATTTTTCAGTTTTACCAATAACTAAT